ACAAAACTATGCGCAATTTCCGACAAAGCTGAAGCACCAGTAAGAAAACTCACAACTTATTTTCCGAGCACAATTGGATGAATTAATTAATTGCGTAATATTCAGGAAGTTTCTTCCTTACTCAAAAATCCACGGTGCAAAAGCTGCAATTAAGTTCAGACAAATCACTGCGTGATATCAGACACACCGCGATGAATCTTGAACAGTGTATTTAAAGCGTACATTCAGATACAAAACACATTTGTGCGATTTCTGCAACAGTTCGTTTAAATTCAACTCTGTTTCTCCAGGTGTACCTTGAAGCATAATGTCAATATACTTGCAGGTGTACTGTATATCACTGTGGATACCGTTATTTGGTAGCAACCCGAGAACCAGAATTATGCGTTTTGGGTCGAGAGGAGAGGTGAGACCATTGTCACTTGTATGGCGCATCATCCTATTTTTTCTCGCTGCATACGATGCCGAAGTTTGCTACCAAACTTAGTCACTTCGTATATCGACGAGCCGGGCGTTTCCGGGTGGGAGATTGCTACGATAGTGATGTCATGAATCTTATGGACAACTAAAACCTCCTCGTCTGCTTTCCCCACCAGAGTGTCTTTATCATCGCTGTGACGAAAACACTTGTAATAATTGTCACAAAATTTCATGGTCATAAGCGACGAGTATTTAGCGGACACCGCGCACCCAATAGCTCTAATGTCTTTTTCGCTTATTTTGAAGTCTTTGCTGCAAGCCAGTACGGTGTGTCCGTCGTGGTGGAATATAGCCGCCTTCTCTATCTTTCCATTTTTTGTAAGTCTGCACAATAATTCATTCCAAGTATTCATTCTGAATGCGGAAGTCCACACCCGGACTGGAGCGTATTTAAGTAAAATGTCAATGATTTCTTCCGCAAATTCTTGTGGGTAATTTGCAAGTCCGCGATAGTCTCAATCCCCTTCTGTGTTAGTTTTCAAATGAAATATTACCTCGGCACTCGGTCTGTAAACTAACCCCTATCAGCTTGATAAGGACAGCTGACCTGCTTTTCCTACCTGAGCATCACACGTACACTGGACGGTCCAGGCGAGACGCTATTTATGTGTATAGGGAGCTGACGTAGGAATGATTGACAGGTATTTGCGGTACTTATATGTATACACCTATCCCGCCCACCAACGCTAGGCCGATCGGCTGACATAATGTTACCGAATGACCCGTTACGCATTACCACAACCTTACCTTAAACCGATCATGCTAACTGTATACTCACGCACCCAATGCTTAGACGTGTAAAAATTACACGAGGACCGGATATTGAAGGACTGGTGTGCTAGTATTTCTTTATAAAGAATAAGGATAATATATATTTTATTAACATCCTGGTATCCATTGATATACATTATAACCACAGACTTAATCCTGTCTCACTCCGTGTTCTGACTAACACGGTATAGTTGAATTGTTCTGAATTTGTTAATAAATACGTCATAATGGGATCTTTTTTTACTAGCGCTATGGGGTTTGGCACGGTATACATTCTATTTATCCTCTCAATGACTGTCATTCGACGTTTAGCACAGCTTGTAGACATTCCACTCGCGGTAGTTGGTATTATTTAACCTTTACAGCACTGGGATCGGGGACATCAGACGGTTCATCTACGGTAGAAACAGAGTTAACTGACACTGTCTCGGTTTCTCCACCCCCTCTTTCGATATTTTTTAATGAAGAACCCCGAGGTACGCGGGTTTCCCGAGCGACTGCTATTAGACTGGTCGGTCCGTTTGTGTTTGTTTCGTGTTAACATTTGTGTTGTTACAGTTTCTAACATAATTAGGCCTTTTGTAAGACAGACTGCTTATCGTAAGGTCATAAATGGTATACACGTATTTGTCTGTGTCGTCTAAACCGTTGTAAATGTTTAGATTAAAATTATATAACCCAATGAAACATTTACAAATGAGTAAAGATAGCTTGTATTGTTTATTGTAATTTATGGTTTTTTAATTTTAAATTTGTTCAACGCGTGATTTATAGCTTTTTGTTACGGAAGCCTATTGGTGCCAAATGCATTATTGTGTATATTCGCAAAAAGTATTGCGTATATACATTATTTATATATTTTTTTAGATTTCATTTGGCACCAATGGGCTTCCGTAATTCGTTACCTATCAGTTTATAGATATAAGTTTATAATCGTATCTGAAGTTTGGGTGTAACAATAATGTTATTGTCTAGTAGGAGTTTTGCGTGGCGTTATGAAATATGGTATACCTACACACAAATTAATGTTACCGGTTCGTCATAGCTTTGATCGCCGTATAATTAGCACAAAGATATGCATGGTTATCTAATAATGCACAACTGCACTGTTTACAAAAGTTACACACACACACACACACACACACACACACACACACACACACANCTAAATCCTCGTCATCGTCGTCGTCTAGGACAAATCCGATCATTTATAGCGCCGATTCCCTATGAAATCTATCGTATTAGTCGCTCGAAGTGGATTTCCTTTTGAAATTCATAATTTTGATTTCCTGCAACATGTAATTTTGAATCAGGAAGTGATTTCTAAACATGAAAAAATAGATAATTTTGATAATGTTAGGAGAAAGTCCCTGATATCCGGCCCTGTCCAACATTTATAGATGTACACAGGTATGTACAACGTAAGTCGTCTTTTTCGTTTGTAATGGTATTTTGAAGATTATTGACAGCAGCGACACATCAACAGTAGAGTTTTTGATTAACAAGTTCCGCATTCAAATCGAAATTTTCATAGTGTACACCATCCTTTAAGAATGTAACGCGACTCGCCAGAATTGACGATAAATTGTTTAATGGTACTCTTAACAGGGTTTCTGGTTCAAATTATTTGAATCGCATAGAATAGTATTTAATTTTACTGAAACATTTTTGACCAATCGAATGGCGTTTGCATAGTCATTCCGAAGCCGTCTAAATTTAAAGTAGCACGCAGGCAATAAGAAAAACAGGCGATTTTATGTGTCCTTTCAAGTAACATTTTCGAATTAGTTTACGGACTTCATTTTATATAACTCGTCCAAGTAAATGTCTTTTGAATGCAGGAAATAAGTTTCGCATTGGTTGTCGTTATTCTTTTATATCTGTTTTCAATGTGTGCAATTTTTTGCAACAGTTATTGAGTGTTTATTATCCCCGTTTGCGGATATAAGCTTTTAATACATGACTACATCTCATCAAGCGTGACCATTGCACGAAAAGCTATATATATATATATATGTTTATATAGTATGGGTGCCACTTCAATTTTTAATCCTATTAAGTGGTATCGCCTGCTATTTGAATAGGATATCTCACCTGCTAATTCATTAGGTGACGTCACCTTTAGATCGTTGAATGGATGTCACGTACTTATTACCTGATTTTATGGTTTCATCAATTAAGAGAGATGATATCACTCTTTTGTTTGGAAGTATCGACATCACCTGTACGGATTAATTTGATTGAGTGCTATTACTAAAACAGCGCCACAGATACACGCACTCATTTCTGTTTAATCGGTTTAATATAAACAGCGTCATATCGCTAAAATAGAATGTAATCTAATCATCGAGGACATGTATAAGCCATATGCTAGATTTGCTTCACCTTTGCTTCATATTTTTTTTAAAATTTGTTTCATTTTGCAGACACATCTTTTTTTGAATTTATTTATATAAATTTCTGATAGAAAACTTTACGTTACAATTTTATCTAACAAAGTCTATTCCAGATGCGTATCTTAAACTTTATTCGAAATTACGACTTTCATCGCGTCAGTTATATGTAGTAGAAGGTCGACCGGTATCGTAATATTCCGAGGGCGAATAGGTTATGCCGTTATTATAATCAAAACCAGGTAGAGGACGAATTCCATTTTGTTCTGATTTGTCAACTCTATGTTGATATTCGTAAAAAGTTCATTAAAAAGTATTACTAGAGCCGCCAATCTTCATACATAACAGAACAGAGCTATATAATTTAGGATAATATCTGCAATCAAGTTGGTTAGAACGGTCTAGATTCAAACCTTATGTTATTATGTTTTTTCTCACACTGACTGATAACATTTGAGCACTTGTTTATTTCCAGGTTTACACATATTGATTTGTCCATCCCCTGATCGATCACTATACATCACTGTATACAAATTGTATGCCTATTTTTAGTTTTTATAATTAGCATACTCTTTGTTGAGACCCGGTTGTTATTATGTTAAGAAAATGTTGTCACCTCATCTGTTTTCCGATAGCCGCGGTACACTTAGGTGAGGTAATTTTATAAAAGCTGTAAATCTTCCGATAACTTAATTATCTTGTACTTTATAATAACTTAAAGAATTATACTGTCCATTTATACATGCGATGTACAAGATTATGCTTCATTCATGATGTTATATGCTTATGAGCCGTAAGGCTTCAAGTTGAATAAACAAACAAACAAACTAAAACAGCACCACAGATACACGCACTCATTTCTGTTTAATCGGTTTAATATAAACAGCGTCATATCGCTAAAATAGAATGTAATCTAATAATCGAGGGCATGTGTAAGCCATTTGATAGATTTGCTTCACCTTTGCTTCATAATTTTTATAATTTGTTTCATTTTACCAACATCATCTTTTTTAAATTTGTTTCATTTTGCAGACACATCTTTGATTTTACTTACTTCATTCTACATATTTTTTTACTGTTTTCATTTTACCTACTTGATTTTTGTACATTAATTGTTTCCTTTTACCTAAATGTACGTAGATATAAAAATATGTATATAGTTTCCATTCTTTTAAATAATTTACCTACTTATGTCATTTGTTACTATAGAGCACCCACAACTCCGATGCGGGGCTCAATTACTTGTATGCGGACGTTTTCCCACAGCAAGACAGGTTTAAAGTTGTCTAAGTCTGGACCAGGTAAATAATATAAATGCCTATCAAAACAAGCAAACAGTTTAAGGAACGACAACTCTCTGTTCGAACTTTGTGTATTCCAAGGGAAACAACTGTACACTTCCGGTGCGTTGATAATGTAAACAAAGGAAAAAGGTAAGAAAATGATCCTCGATATTATGATAGAGAAACGATATTAGAGTTAGATTGTTCATCTGAAATACTTCAAATGCCACTTTTAATAGATATTGCACCTAACTTTGAGCTGAGTAGTGGGACATCTACGAGCACGTGTTTACAACGATATGACGTTATAATGTTCTTGGCCCATGTTTGAAACTGATAGCAATATCCGGGATGGGTTCCAATGACCAATTTGTTTACTGGACTTAGCTCGTCTGTGTTACTAATCCTACATGCCTACAGTAACAAACATGTGTTAAGATAACTTGAGAGCGATTCTGTTGTAAACATCTTTGATAATCACAGACCTAGTCAGTATTTCACCACCTGACCACCACGATGCACCGATATCTACGTCACAGGTACTCGACACACCTGCCTTTTACGTCTGGCTTGTAAATAAGACATACGATAATACTTTTTAAGGAGGGTATTGTGACAGATTTACTGTATGGCCCTCGAAGCTCGATCAACATAATATACAAAAACATGATAGTAGCTATATAGTATACAATACATGCATGTAACGACACAGAAGTAATGTAGTACACTATTGCTAGTAAATGTAAACTGGAGTAAGACAAGACACATGTCACCCTGCTACAAAATCCCAGCTGCTTCCTACCGACTCTGCTAGGGAGAATTTCTTATTAGCCCATTCAGTAGAGTATAATACTAGTAAAGTATTGGTCCCTGGTGCAACTCCTAGTGGAGGCAATACAAGATTATGACCTCAGTTACATTGGCAACCAGATATACACGTGATGTGTAACAGGAAAAAGAATAGCATGCTTCCACTGGGGATCGAACCCGCAATCCCTAGGTTCCCAGTGGGACGCTCTACCACTGAGCTAAATGGAAAATTCCCTCTAGCTCAAAGCTATTGGACGACCGTAATCCTATGTACAATTGAACCCTGCCACACAAGTATACTCAGCGATACTTTCACAAGAATCGCTATGACACTGAACAAGTTCTTTCCTGGAGGGGGAGTGTCACTCGGATACAAAATACTAGCTGCTTTTCTTACCAACATGTCCAGGGAGAATTTCTCTTTACCTCATTCAGTAGAGCGTAAGACTAGAAAACTAGAGGTCCCAAGTTATACTCCTAGTGGTGTCATTAAAAAAATATTTTGACCTGTGTTACACACACATTTCTTATAATGGACAAGTATACTTTTTAAACTAACAATAACTGGATTTGGTTAAACTATTCTTCTTTCAAATAAGAGTTAACAGTGTGTTTAGTTACAGTAAGTTTGACCTTGACCTTAAGAATGTTTTTAACCTCTATTACCTCTACATTTCATCATGTGAAATTAAAAATGAACTTGGATTCCGAGCATTTCTTAAATTCCTGTTGCACATCTACATCACATATGGTGCATATTACAATTTCATATTTCACAAGGATGAGACTTTTGAATTCTGTGATAAAGACTTTTGAAAATTATTGATAACCACCACAGTCTTTTTTTAGTAACGCTGACCATTAACCTTGACCGTAGAATTGTTTTAAAACATGAAGGAATAACTGCTGTTTATGTGGGGTGACAGTG